TCCTTCCTTCCTTCCTTCCTTCCTTCCTTCCTTCCTTTCTTTCTTTCTTTCTTTCTTTCTTTCTTTCTTTCTTTCTTTCTTTCTTTCTTTCCTTCTTTTCTTCTTTTTTGACTGAATCTTGCTCTGTCACTTAGGCGGGAGTGCAGTGGCGCGATCTCAGCTCACTGCAACCTCTGTCTCCGCGGTTCAAGCGACTCTCCTGCCTCAGCCTCCTGTGTAGCTGGGATTACAGGCATACACCACCATGCGCAGCTAATTTTTCTGTTTTTAGTAGAGACGGGGTTTCACCATGCTGGTCAGGCTGGTCAGGAACTCCTGACCTTGTGATCCGCCCACCTTGGCCTCCCAAAGTGCTGGGATTATAGGCATGAGCCACCGTGCCCAGCCTCATGGTCTTTTTTCCTTACTCCAACTTACAATGGTTTCTCCCTTATTGACTCTATGTACTACTTTTAAGATTATTAACCAAATAATAACCTTAGTTATTTCTTAACATTGATTTTACAACAGATTTCCCCATTTCTAGCAAATTTTGCTAATGATACATTAATATATGTTAACCCAGTTTGTTAATTGTAACTCTCTAACATTTATTAAAGCCACAAATAAAATACTTCATATCTAGTATGATGACAGCTTCAGTAACACGACTACAAAAATTTAAAATACCATGCCTATATCCATGTTTAACGGACACCTTCTACAAAGTAACCCTTGGGGGGTAGTTATTCATTTATTTCAATAGTACTTCTCTCTTCACAGTGTGTCTAAATTGTCTTTAACAATTTTAGAGCTATCTTTTAGTTTTAATTCGCCTCTCAAAAAAAAAAAAAAAAAGAATGACCCAGCTTAAATGTATCTATTTATATCATATATATAGATCTTGATCTTTAAATATAGATATAGATCAAGATCTATATATTATATATATTCTACATCTATATATCTATTCTTACAGAATAGAATTTATTGTGTATTTTAATTATATAGATAGACATTGAGCAACTATCTATATCTATCTCTGTGGAGTATCTATGTATATATAGAGATAGAGAGAGAGAGCGTGCGCTAATATTCCGTAAGAACTCCTCATTATTGAAATATGTTGGGCAGATAATGATTTATCTGTGAGGGGTTTTCACTGATTACTAAATATGCTACACTCTACCAGAAATTTGCACTTTAACTTACATATTTCTTTTTGTAATGGTCTTCTGTCTTCTGAACATTGCAAACCCTTCTCCCTAAGCAATTGCCATGATCATATTATTTAGAAATCTATCATTAGTTCATCTAAAAATATATTTGCTGCTTTTTCTAGGTTCCATACAACCCAAAAACTCTGTTCATATCTTTCCCTTAGCATTGCTCACACTGTATTATGATATTGTGCCCAGCATCTAATGCTACACCCTAATTCCCTGAACCATCGCCTCCCATCATCTTTACAGATTTCTGAAAGTAGGGACTTTAAATGTTTCTTAGTTTTTGTTATCTCCACTAACTATGGAAGTTAACACTGAGTAGCTGCTTGAAAGATGTGTGATGAATGAGGCAACAGGAGAGTCACAACAATCTCACCAAAGACAACTCAAAATCGCATTTGAAGAATAAAATGGTGAAATCTAAAGCAGTAAAGAAGTGGGCAATACATTGCTGGAAGAGTAGATAGAAATATTTAAATATCCTACTCAGATTACCAACTTGGTTAAAAAGTTTATTTCTCAATTTTTACAAAATATTGGACTGTGCACTATGGATCTCAGGCTAAAGGTCTTGGCTAAGAGTCCTGCCATATAAGAGAGTGCATGTTTCTCAATATATTTCCCAAGATACGAAAATCCCCCTGACTTGTTTACTGCAATAAGATGTCCCACCTTTTATCTTCCTACTAACACATCATGACCTATCATAGACCATTGCCGGGGGAATTGTGCCTGTAATAGAAAATTACCATGGCCCAGAACCCTTTGACGCCTACCACTATTGCTCTTAGTGTATGCTTGGAGGCAAGGGGAGGGTAAAACAATACCATGGTAATCTGGGAGCTGTATCAAATATCTCAGACCTAGCCTCTTCATCACCACTACTTGCAAAACCCATACTTGTATATCAATATTGGCAGCAAATTCTGAACAAAATGTATATCCTGTGGATTTAGAAAAAGCATCCTGGAAAAACCTGACAATACCTGCTCACTCCCATACAAACCACTTTATTTTTATTTATTTATTTATTTTTGAGACGGAGTCTCGCTCTGTCGCCCAGGCTGAGTGCAGTGGCGCAATCTCAGCTCACTGCAAGCTCCGCCTCCCAGGACAAACCACTTTAAAGCATAATCAGAATGACAACCTTATTACTGTTTCTATCTATCAATATTGACATGTTGATACATGTGGATGTCTTGGTTTTATCCCAGTGTATTAGTCATTTTGTTTTATCAGTATTTATGATGCTTTGACATCTTGAGGACCTTGCTGGCCAGGGAGACACTGCCCCTCCCAGTGCTAGCTAATTCCTAGAGATAGCAAACAACATGCCTGCAAGCATGCATTTTATACACAAACCAATCAATCCAGAGCCCATCTTCCCCCACTAACTCATTTATTTAACTCACACTCACCAACCCAGTATTTCTCTTGCCTTAAATAACTCAAGGCCAAGTATTAAATAACTAGAGACCACCCTTGTAGCACAGATACTGCCCAAATTATTCAAACTATCCAATTCTAACTGGCTCAAGCTTGCCTACCTGGTTCACCCCATTCCTTCCCGTGGAAGCTGCAACACAGCCACCCCACCACACTTTCCCCTTTCTCTTTCTGCCTCCTGACCAACCCTAGCACTCCTCCATGTGGCTCTGCATGGTATGATGTATCTCCTTTCTTGCGAACTGTAAGAAACAAACTTTGCTTTCAAAGGCTGTCATCTCATGCCTGTCACCTTATCATACCTGATTAAAACAAAATCCCAGATACATTTTCAGACACCCAAAATGACAGTGACTAAGAAAAGATAAAAAAGGCACTTAGAGAGTGGTGAAGCCTAGATGCACGGATGATGGTGCGGTGGGTTTTTTCTACTTTTAAAAAAGGCTGATTTAATTTATTTTGGTTACATATTCAGAAACAGGATTCGAGTTTTAATATTTTGAGGAACTTCTCTACTCTTCCATAATGGCTGTACCAAGTTGCATTCCCACCAGTAGTGTACAAGGGTTCCGTTTTCTGCACTTCCTCTCCGACATATGTTGTTCTTGTCTTTTTGATACTAGCCATCATATTATCAGCTGTGAAGTGACATCTCATTGTGGTTTTGATTTGCATTTTCCTGATGATCAGTGATGTTAGGCACCTTTTCAGGTACCTAGTGGACATTTGTATGTCTTTTGTGGAAAAAAAAAAAAGCCTATTCACATCCTTTGCTTATTTTTTAAGTGTTTTTCTTTTATCTTTTTTCTTGCTATTGAATTATATTAATTCTTTTTATGCTTTGGATACTAACCCTTCATCAGTCATATAGTTTAAAAACTTTTTTTTCCAATTCTGTAGATTGCCTTTTCATTTTGTGTATTGTGTCCTTTGCTGTACAGAAGTTCTTTAGTTTTATGCAGTCCCATTTTTTTATTTTTGCTCTTGTTGATCCTACTTTTGGTGCCATGTAAAAAATACATATATATTTTCAAGATCAATGTTAAGGAGATTTTTCCTTATGTTCCTTTCCTGGAGTTTACAGTCTCAGGTCTTATATTTAAGGTTTTAATCCATTTCAAGTTAATTTTTATATGATGTAAGATAAAGGTCCAATTCTATTCTTTTGCATGTGGAGATTCAATTTTCCCAGCACAATTTATTGAGTAAGCAACATTTTCCATATTATGTATTTTTGGAAATCTTGCCAAAGATTAGTTGATTAAATAAGCCTGGGTTTATTTCTGGCTTTTTTATTCCGTTCTATTGGTCTATGTGTTTGTTTTATGCCAGTATTATGCTTTTTTGATTACTATAGCTTTGCAATATAGTTTGAAATCAGAGAGTGTGATGACTGCAGCTTTCTGCACTACTGTTTACTGCAGTATTATTCACAATAGCCAAGATATGGAAACAACCTGTCTGTTAACGCTTAAATGATTAAAGATATTGTGGCATATACACACGCAATTGGAAATTATTCAGCATTAAAAAAGATCATGCCATTTGTGACGATACAGAATAACCTAGAGGACGTTATGCCAATTTGAAATAAACAAGACACAGAAAGACAAATACTATGCGACATAACTTATATGTGGAATCTACAAAAGTCAAACTCATAGAAACAGAACGGTGGTTGGCAGGGGCTGGCGCGTGGAGGAAATGGAGAGTTGTTGGTTAAAGAGTACAAGCTTTCAGTCAGAAGATGATAAATTTGGGGGATTTTTTTTTTTTCTTTTTTGAAACAGAGTCTCGCTCTATCCCCCAGGCTGGAGTGCAGTTGCACGATCTTGGGGCACTGCAACCTCCGCCTCCTGGGTTCAAGCGATTCTCATTCCTCAGCCTCCCAAGTAGCTGGAATTACAGGTGCCTGCCACCATGGCCAGCTAATTTTTGTATTTTTAGTAAAGATGGGGTTTCGCCACGTTGGCCAGACTGCTCTCGAACTCCTGACCTCAGGTGATCCACCCGCCTTAGCCTCCCAAAGTGCTGCAATTACAGGCATGAGCCACCACACTAGGCCCAAATTTTGGTGAACTAATGTACAGCATGATGACCGCAGTTATTCATACTGTGTTGTTTCCTTGACGTTCGCTAAAATTGTAAACCTTAAGTGTCCTCATCAGATATGCATACACATACACACACACACACACACAAAGGGTAACTATGTGCAGTGATAAGTGTGATTAATTGTGATAGTAATTACACAATGCACATGTTTATCAGATTATTACATTTTACACTTTGAAAATATATAATTTGTATTTGTCAATTATTTCTTAGTAAAGCTAAAAAAGGTTTATTTTAATCACATGAATTATCATATTAGTTGGAGAACCAGCTTGCTGCCTCCCATTCTCTAAATACCTCAATTCTCAGAGCAGTATCCAGTTCAACAGTAGTGACTATGTATACAAACACACACACACACACACACACACACACACACACACAATGCATTATATACATGCATAATAAGCAAAGTACACAACTATGCATTTAGTTCTAATTACTCATCATATTAAAAATAAAACTACATCAATTATATATAAAAATCCCCCATGAAATATCAGTCATAACTTTTAACCACCTGTAATTACACGAGGTAAAAATTGAGTCGCATTAGCCAACCCTTTCATCTGGAAGCTTCTTGAAGACACCAAAAGTAGTGCCAGTGACAGAAGCTCTCTTGTGCGTGCTCTTGAGTATACCTGATGAAGAATGCACCGTGGTCACTGCATCCACATCTGAGTCCACCATGAAGTCGCAGCTGGATTCCGTCAAGGTCCCATGGACAGTCACAGGCGCGACGGTAGCATGGCGCAGGGCAGCTTTCAGTGGTGCTATGTGGTTGTACTGGACGGAAGACATGCATCCAGCAAAACCCAAGGCGTTGGCTTTAGCAACTTCAGAATCCAAACTAAGATTCTCTGCAATGTAAAAGACAATCAGAAGTCCTTTACTTCTTTTTTTTTCTCAAATTATGCTGGGTCCTCTTTGAGTAATATCTAAAATTACAGAAATTCCCTCGTTATTCTTTGAGTAAAGAAAACCCTCCCCTATCTCTCTTTATCTCCTTTCCCCAGCTCCACTCCCAACGCAAGCATCAATATGTCAGCCACATTTCATAGAAAACTGTCAGGGCCATCTCTGCTTTGAGATAAAGAATATTCCAAACTTCTAAATTTTCATTCATGTATTTTATGAACTGTAACAAAGACAATAAATCTGTTCTGTACTTTAGGTGTTTTATAAAATTTATATCAGTATCCCCATCATCATTTATCTTTGGATGCTGGTGATTAGTGCAAGCACCCTACGATGTTCATTACAACACTTCACTCAAAAATGTAGCAAGAGAAAAAAGAATAAAGAGGTAGAGACATCAGAAGTCAACATTGTCCTTCCAAAGATTTATCGTGTAAATTATTTTAAGCCACCTGTGTAGACTGACCTTCTAGTCAAGATTTTCACCTGCTTGGTTCTGTCCGTGGAACTGATTGGTGTGCATGGGTTTTTTATGACAGCATTCAACTTCGTAAAGTATCTTTGAGACTTTATAAAAGATGAACGTGCAGTAATTTGGAATTCACAGCAAGATCAAATGTCTCATTTTCTTCAAGATTTGTGGTAAGATTACTCAGTATTCTATTTCTTTTTGTTAAAAGAGTAATTTGAACAAACTTCTATGATGCAATTATATAAAACTGCAATGCATAATGAGCCATTTTTTTCCTAAGGTGTAACAGTCGTAACATACCGAGATGGTTCAAATGGTTATTTATTAAGATAATTTGTTTGTTTTCTGAAAGGTGGTAGGGACTCTCTCATCTACCAGTGTAGATTATAATTTTATTTTGATTCATAAATGGTCAAAGAGACTCCATCGATTTGTAAGCATGCATTATGTTGGCAGCATTAAGAGACATGATAAGGATATGGAAGAAAATGAGAAATTAACCTCCCTTAATAATGCCTTTCCTAAGTTTTGCTCCAATTTTACTCTCCTCCATCAACACCCATGTAAACTTAGCCAAGTCATCATCTCTGTCTTTTTTACATAAAGAATGAAATCGTGCATTAATGTTATGTGGCTGCTGTGACAAATTGCCACAAACTTAAATGACTTTAAACAGCTTAAAACACAAGTGTGTGATCTTGCAGTTCTGTGCGTTTGAAGTCTGCCGTAGATCTCATTGGGTTGAAAATCAAGTATCAGCAAGGCTGCGTTAATTCTAGAGGCTCTGGAGGAATATTACATTTCCTCGCCTTTTCCGGCTTCTAGAAACCACCCACATCCCAGGGCTTCTCTAGACTCCTTCTCTATTTCCAGGCAAGCAATGTTACATTTCTCTGTGTCTTTCTTCCATACTCACTTCAACCTATAATTCTCTTCTATCTCCTTCTTTCACTTTTAAGAACCCTTTTGATTACACTGGGTTCATCCTGATAATACAGGATTGTCTTCCTATTTCAAAGACAGCTGATAAGCAACATTAATTACTTTTGCAACTTTACTTCCTCTTTGACACATCGCCTAATGTATTCTTGGGTTCTGAGGATTAGAACACAGACATCTTTGTGCACTAAATATATATATATATATATATATTTTTTGAGACGGAGTCTCGCTGTGTCTCCTAGACTGGAGTGCAATGGTGCAATCTTGGCTCACTGCAAGCTCCACCTCCTGGGTTCACACCATTCTCCTGCCTCAGCCTCCCGAGTAGCTGGGACTACAGGCGCCCGCCACCACATCCAGCTAATTTTTTGTATTTTTAGTGGAGACAGGGTTTCACCATGTTAGCCAGGATGGTCTCAATCTCCTGACCTCATGATCCACCCACCTTGGCCTCCCAAAGGGCTGGGATTACAGGCGTGAGCCACCGCGTTGGGCCTGAGCACTATAATTCTATCTACAACTTCAGGTCTGAGATTTTGTGAGAACTTTCCCAAATATGATAATGAAAATCCAATAATAAAGTGAACTGTCACTTCTTCAAATATAAAAGAACTCTGAGATGTATGAGAAAACTTCTGTCTTCCAAATATTCAAATATCTCATACAGCGCTGATATTATTTGTTACTTATCCATGAAAGGATCACATATGTTTGTTTGTTATCATGAGCATTAAAAGACTGTATCCCACATAAAGCATGTCACAAAAAAGCTTTAATGAGCTAGATGGTTTTTACTGGTGGCACCAGAACTCAGTGTATCCAGATACAATTCAGAATATACATTAGCTACAGATTGGTAGTTAGCAAGAGGTAGAGTTAAAGATCAGAAATATTTAGAGGAAGAGGCAGAAGACAAGGGAAGAGGAGCATAAAGTGTCATGAGGTTTTTGCATGGTAGGATTTCAGAACATGGAAAGTGACAAGTCATTGTAGTTCCGCCTGAAGGATCTAAGTCAATATCGCCAGCTCTCATTCCCAGGACTCGGTGGGAAAGAAGTCTACATAGTGTCAAGGATCTTGGAGGACATCACTATAGTGACTGTCATGACACACTCCAGATGTAAGAAGAGGCACAAAGATAAGTTGGGGGAAATGCCAGCAAATGACATTCTCTCCTTGAATGAAGAGATGTTTTAAATAAAGCTCTATCTCTAGGGAAATGTGCTTCTTCCAGATGTATTATAAGGACAGAAACCTTGAGGTGTTTCTGAAAAGAAATGCAAAGAACAAGAATCCCTGATAGAAGAAAATATTCTCCACATGAAGCTCAAGATCATGATTTCTCAGATTCTTACACAGATGGAGAGGAAAAAAACAAAAATAAGACAAAAGTTACAAAGGTTCTAAATGATTTTAGTTTCTTATAATAGTGTTAGGTAATATGTAGTATGCTATAATAATTTGCTGAAAACAATAATTTTAAAGCTGCAAAATACTCAACATTCACCACTCACTGAGTAGCTACATGCAACTGCAATAATTATTGTCGAAGAATTATTTCTATTCCCCTCAAAAGTTATTGTAGATATGTGTTCTCAATTTTCAAAATTTACAGATGAAGTTACTGCGACTCGAAGAAGTTGAAAGATGTACTGAAGATCACATAGCAGGGTTGAGATTTAAACCCAAGTCTTTATGATTTTAAATGCCAAACTGTATCTAAGCAATGCAGCCTCCAAAAAAAAAAAAAAAAAAAAAAACACTCCAAAATATCTCTTGTATAGAGTAAAATAATTTTACATAAATTATCTTTAAAAATGGGTTGCAAAATCTAAGGAAAGCACAAGTTATTTTGGTTAAATGCCTCACAGAATTCACTGAACTCTATATTATATTAAAGACAAATGTATTTCCTAATTCATTTTTCTGTTTTTAGGTTAAAATTACATTAGATTCATGTGGAGTTAGATGAGGGGGCTGTTTTATGTGCTGTGCTAGAGAATGGATGTTGAAGACAAACTTAATAGCGAATACGGCTCCTCAAAGGCTGACAAAATGGGAATGCAAGCAAAGGCGACACCACTGAAAAATGCCAGCGTTCCCTGTTTCGCTTTTCCCAAGATTTTCTACTAACATAAAAAATCTTATCCAAAAAAAGAATGACAATGGTCAAAAGTCTTGTCACTGCCTTAAGAAACCAAAGGTATCTTGGAAAGAAAAAACAACAGCATATCCAAATGTCTTATTTGAAATTGACTTAGTTTCTCTTACTCAATACATTTTAAATATTATCAAAATATGGTTCTTGATTCTCTTTTGACTTAGCCCCGTGCCCCCCAAGGGTGATGCCAAAACAGCATGAGTTGCTGATAGGTACAGACTGGAAATTAGGCCGACCTAAGTTGATGAATCATGAACTTGCACATATGATATCTGTTTCTACATTTCTTCAATTTTATCCACTATGAAACAGGGATAATAGTACCTACCACATGAACTGTGTCAGAAACAAATACAATAATATAAGTTGAATTTATAAGTCAATGACCATTAATGCATCTTTGCTGTTGTATGTATTTATTTGGTTTTTGTATATATTTATATTGTACAACATGATGTTTTGATACATGCATACATTGTAGAATGGCTAAGTCAAGCTGTTTAAGGTAACATGGGGGTTTACCTTACATACCTTTTTTGTGTGTTGTGAAAAAACTTGAAACCTACTCTCAGCAATTTTCAAATATATAATATATTGTTATTAACTGCAGTCGCCATGATGTACAATAGGTCCCCTGAACTTATTCTCCAGAACTTATTTTCCAGTTTAACTAAATATTCATCCTTTGACTAACATCTCACCATAATAAAAGCATACTGTTAGGAGGAGGAGGCGGGGGGAGTGGTAGTTGGCACTAATAGTAAAATCTTTTACTCCTCCTACTATTCATCAGTTCCAAACTCTGTTGCCGGGCTTCAGTGCCCCTCAACATGCCCAAGTATTGTTGCATTTAGAACTATGGTGTAGACACTAATATGCTTGCTGTGGAAATCTACTACATTTCCACTTACTACTGATTCACGATTGAACAAATGTAGCACTCAAATTTTGAATGACTTAGTTAATTCATTTTAAACTAACTTTTTTGGCATTTAAAATTTGGCTTTCTACATTATTTTGCAAACACCTTTATTTCTTGTAAGTAAAGCTATGTTCCTCTGTTAAATCTAATAGACCTGTGATGCCCGAGAAAGTAGCACAGAGCCAATTGTAGCCTCAGAATGCACAATACTTTACACATTCGCAGTTGTTTGACACGAAGAGAGTGATAGAATGAATCCAGGCTAGTTTTGTGCAGGCAGGTTTGTGTGTGTGTGTGTGTGTGTGTGTGTGTGTTTTATATATGAAAGAAAGACAAAAAGATCAGCAATTTGCTAAAAACAGATATTGCTCTAGATTGTAACATGACATTTTCTATGTGTGAAAAGTTACTTCTGACACTTGAATCCTGAAGTATAACAATGCAA